GAGATACATTAGCGGATTAGATCTGCATAATCGATAATGGCCCAAATAATGCAGAAGTTGTAGACAAATGCATCGGGAAACATATTCATAAATGAAATAACACTATAAACAGGAACAAACACAAGCATTTCAGCACTCAGTGAACATCTTGACTAAATATGGGATAAATATAGTTGTAAATTGCATAAATTTAATACTCCTTAGATTATATGAATAACCAAACCCGTTGCCAGCGAGTCTATTCTGGCTCATAACAACTCTATAGTGCAGAGCAGAACTGCCCCCTAGGGTTTCCAAGGAGCGGCTGGTGGATTCCAACTGCCGACCTTTCGGTTAGCAGCTGAGCTCTTTACCACTGCGCCTCCAGGGCTCTAGTATACTAACAACGAAATTGCTTTGTAAAAATCTTGCTGCATTGAACATTCTTAGCTACAACAGTAGTAAGTGAGCAGAAGCTTTTTTTAATTTTTCTCCTTGTTTTCCTTTAATTACTACTTCATTCTCAGAAAGAGTTATTGATACAGGTTCACAAATACTAACTACCACAATGTTGTCGTTGTTGGGTGTCAGTGAGTTGATTCCGGCTCATAGCGACCCTCTGTACAACAGAACGAAACACTGCCCAGTCCTTCGCTGTCCCCACAATCGTTGCTACGCTTGAGTTCATTGTTGCAGCCACAATATTGTGGCTGTAACACTAGAAAATTTGACAGAATCAGCAGCTATAAAACCAACAGCGGCCGAAACCTCATGATCTGAAGCATTGTTGAAATTGAGTCACAGCAACAGCTCTGACCGGAGCGCGTTAGAAGGTTCAGAAAGTAAATCAGCAGAGTTTTAGCCTCGTAGGTAGATTGATACATGTACGCTGGGCTCACAAAAACTGTTTTTGTTGTTATAACTAACTACAGGGACATTTTTAAAATAAATTTCTGCTGAAACAGTGCACAAAAATTTTATAGACAGTCATTTTGGTGTCACCCCCTCTGACGGTGTCACCCGGGGTGATCTGCACCCCTGCAACCCCCCGAGTGATGCCACTGCCCCACAGGCACCCCACCCCGGGCAGGAGAGGCCAGGCGGGCCTCCGGCACGGATGACTCCGCGGGTAAGACGCTCGTGGGGGCTGGGTGGCATGTTGTGTTCCTAAAGAGGACCTCAGAGTCCAGGCAGCCCATGTGCCAAAGAAGCAGGACAGACACAGCCCAGGCAGTGGGCGCTGTCACAGCTGGGAGGAGGTCAGCCTAGCCAAGCTGGCTGGGCTCCTGCCCCAGGGCAGTCAGGCTGCCGGGCAGCAGCCCAGGCCTACATACTGGGCACGGGACAGGGACAGGTGGCAGGGCAGGGTCTGAGCAGTCGGGGCTCCATTTGCTGGGGCTGAGTCACACTCTCTGGCCTACCTGGCAGCCGCCCTGCTTAGAGCTGGGGCCAGCGGTGCACACATCTGGCCTGGAGGCATGCAGCTGGGGCATCCAGGATGGAGGCCCAAGGAGTGAGCTGCCAGCCGGTGCAGCTTGCAGGGGGGCGGGGTGGAAGAGAAGGGTGAAAGGGGTCCCACGCAGGACACTGGGCCAGGCCCCGCATGGGAAAGCGTGCCTGCTAGGAAAGAGGAGCCATCAGGGGAGCCCAGGCACCCTGATGGCAGAGGGCAGGCCTCAAGCACAGGCCCAGGCCGACTGGGTGCTTGGAAGGCTCTTGGTTGCTCTGCCAGTTGCCTTCACAGCCAGCTTCTGCGGGGCCCTGCGGGAGCCTGGCCCTGAGCAGGGCCTTATCTGCTGCTCTGGGCAAAACTCCCACACCACCTCCATCCTACACTGTGCTCGGAGTCAGGGGCCCACAGCCCCGCACTGAGCCTAACCCCCTGCCCAGCCCCTCTCCCCATCCAACTCAAGGGCAGGAACAAGGGAATCTTCTTAGAACACAGCCCTTCCTCACATTACCCTCTCGCCCTACTCAAAGTGGCTGGGGCTGCCCTAGGTGGAAGTGGGGGCCTGGGCAGGTGTGAGGCAATGGGGAGACATGGGGTCCCTGGGCAGACGAGGGGCCCCAGCCATCCCAGGCTCGTCCTGCACTGGCCAGGCAGCGCTCCAGCCAACCCCAGGACCACAGGCCTCTCCCTGGGTGGAAGGGCCCTAACAGACCACTGCCTGGCTGAGGTGAGTCCCTGGAGGGAAGGAGGCCGTGTCTCTCCTTGAGCACCAGCCTGGCCCTGGAGGGGCTGTGGTGGGGCTCCTCCATGGAGCTCCCTGAGGGCTGAGGCGGGGTCCTCTTTGGGTCCTCACTCAGAATACAGCGTTAGGACTTCATGAACTGCTATGTGGTACTTGGAGGGTTGTTCAATGAATAACTGAGGAGGGGACAGAAGGAGCCACAGGGGGCCAAAGGCAGAGGCTGGGCAGGGCCGAGTGGGGCCTCCCCGGCATGCAGCACGCGGCCCCTGCACCTCTGCCCGCTCCACGCACAGCAGTCATGCCGCCTGATGCAAGGCTTCCAAAGAAGTTTCCCATCCACATTCCCTGGGCCTCCGAGCAGCCTGGGCGGCAGGAGCAGGCAGGCCTCGCCGCCCGTTCAGCCCACTGCACCAGAAGATCAGGTATGGCTTGCCCAAGAGCTGCGCTGGGACTCACAGCCTGCCTTCTGCCCTCTCCACGCCTTCCCAGCTGGCCAGAAGGAGGCTCAGGACTGTCCCAGGGCCTCTTCGGCACCGGCCAAGCTGGGGCTGAGCTCCTGGCGTCGGTGAATCATCGTTTGTTCTGCGGGTACAATCAGGGGGCTGGCAGGATAAGCCAGTACAGGTGGCTGCCCGTCCTGAGCCAGGCACAGGCAGCGCAGCCACGTGGCCCCATGAAGGGCAGGCTTCCGGCCGGAGAAGCCTGACGGAGCAGGGCTGGGCAGGGCCGCTGTCAGGCCAGCGGGCACACCTCGCCACTGAGTCCTGGAGCCCGACCTCAGTGTGCGTCTTGGCTCCTTCACCTTCTTGCCCTGGGTTCTTTTAACATCCCTGCCTGCAGCTTCTTCCTGATAAATTAGGAAGCGAGGCACTCATTTTAAAGGGTCCCTGGGTGGGACAAGAGGTTACTAATCAAAAGGCAAGGGGTTCAAACCCACCCAGCGGTGCGGCAGAAACCCCCACGGAGCACTTCTTCTCTGTAACACGTGAGCTTGGCACGAGTCGGAATCAACTGGACAGCAATGGCTTTGGGTTTTGGTTTGGTGCTCCTTCAACATTTGGGTGTTCTCTATGTGCTAGGCAGTTTGGGGCTCTGGGGTGCATCGATGGACAAGTCCACAGCCCTGCGGAGCTTGTGTGGATGCGGGCGGGCAGTAAACAGGAATTAGAGAAAGACAATTCCAGAGGCTGGCTCGGCTCAGGGGCAGGGAGGAGCTGGAGCCCGCTGGGTGGGGGCGGGTGGTCAGGGAAGCCTCTTGCGCTATACAGGTCCTGTGACAGCAGCTCGCTTGGCCTTGGGCCTGAGCATGGGCAGGGGAAGCTTGGAGGTCTGTCTGACCCCCCAGCTTCCTCCCGGGTAACTTCAGCGCCCCCCCAGAAAAGTTCATAGGCTCTGCAATCCCCTTGGGACCCCCCAGCCCCCAGGAGGAAGGCCTCCTCCTCCTTTTTGTCTGTCCCTGCAGCCTGCAGGCCCCCTCCTGGCTGGGGGCTCCCCACAGCTCACACCCCAGCATCCTGCTCCTGCAGCCATGGGCACCTGGGGCAGGGACTGCCCTCTGCAGACCCCAGCCCAGGTCCCGTGCACACTGGGAGGCCTCTGAGCCCTGCCTCTGCCCCTCGAGACTGGTCAGCCCAGCACCGCAGCCCAGGGGGACCCTTTGACCCAGACTGCTTGGGCCAAACCCTGGCTTCACCGCTGCAGCTGCGTAGCTTCGCACAGTGAGGGCCCCTCGCTGAGCCTCAGGGCTCCCAGGGGGTGGTGGTGAGGACGGGCCTGCCTGGCATCCTGCCATCAGTGGGTGGCGGCGTTCCCAAGGGGCACGCCCAGGACACAGCAGGGCCCACGCCTAAGTAGGGGCCTGCCGCGTTTTTCGCTGAGTGCTTTAAGCCACAAAGGAAGGCAGAGCCAACCTGCCCAGCCGGGGACAGAGGGTCAGAGGGGGACCCTACGTTCAAGGCCCACCCGCCCCCGCCTCCGCCTCCGCCCGCGGTGCCGACGCCCGGCACTACCTCGCTGGGCCGCGGAAGGCCCCGCCGTCGCCCTGTGATTAGCACCGCCCAAGGGGTGGCGTTACTGGGCTCCCCGCCCGCCCGGGGCGGTGCAGCGTCAGCCTCGCGGAGAGAAGCCCGTGCCCGCGTGCGGCGGCTGCCGCG